CTACTACTTGGGATGGTTTAAAACGAGCTATGCGACAACGCTATGTTCCTTCATATTATGCTCGTGACAAACTAAATGAATTGCAACGTTTAAAACAAGGTAGCAATTCTGTAGAGGATTATTATCAAGAATTGCAAACTGGTTTAGTGCGATGTGGTTTAGTTGAAACCGAAGATGCTATGATGGCTAGATTTTTAGGTGGTTTGAATTGTGATATTCAGGATATCTTGGACAATAAGGAGTACAACTCTATTACTCATTTGTTTCATTTTGCTTGTAAAGCTGAAAGGGAAGTACATGGACGACACAACAAGGGACGGTGTAATTTTTTTGCAGGTCGCCGCTCATCATGGTCACCCTCTCCTACTGTGCCGTCCACTACTGAGTCAACACCACCTATCTTGCACAATGGTGCACACCCTTCAAGTTCAAAATCAGCTGCACAATCATCCGAGGCTTTGAAAGCAATTTCTGTAGCACCCACCACTTCGTCTGGACGCACAAGGGACATGAAGTGTCATATATGTAAAGGTGGCGGGCACTTGATGAAGGACTGTCCAAATAAACGAACATTCATTGTACGGGAAGATGGTGAAGACTCTTCTGCTAGTGATTTGGATGAAGATACACGTGCTATGCTTGCCACTAATAATGTAGGTAACACTGAGGAGAATGAGACAGAGGCGATACATGTTAATGCAGCGATGGCAGATCAATATCCAAGCCTTGTCACCATGCGAGTACTTAGTGCCCAGGTTGGGCATACTGAGATGCCTCAACGCCATAATCTTTTTCAAACTAAGTTTGTTGTCAAAGGGCATTTCGTTCGTGTGATCATTGATGGTGGAAGCTGCAATAATTTGGCGAGTATAGAGATGGTCGAGAAACTTTGCCTCACCACTACGAGACACCCCATCCATATTACATCCAATGGTTCAACGACTGTGGTAAGTTGAAGGTAACACGTCGTGTGCGAGTACAATTTACACTTGGTTCATATCGTGATTACGTTGACTGTGATGTTGTACTTATGTAAGCTTGTTCTTTATTGTTAGGTCGACCTTAGCAATATGATAATAGTGTTACTCATCATGGTAGAACAAATTACGTATACTCTTGTGTTTGAAGGAAAAACCATCAACTTGCTTCCTATGACCCCTGATGAAATAGTAAATGATGGGAAAGCTAAATCAACGGATCGTACTATGCACACTATGCTTGCTATCAATTTTGAAATGTTTCCGTTGATTGTCCCACCTTGTGATCCGGATATACAGTGTACCCATATAGTTAGTTTGCATCCCCATAATTCATACATAGACTTTGTGTGGGGTCAAACTTTTCATGATATTCCTAATGGTGCTATAACAAATTTATTTCATCCTCATGAGCTCATGCTTTTGGAACGACCTATATGTGTTGCATCTATTTTTGCTTTGCTATATGATGTGTTCCAGATAAATAAAAGCTGAGGGCGGCTTTGTTTTTAAGGAAGGGAGGATGATGTGCACATAGCTATCTTAGAAACGTCTACGAATATTACACGGCAATTTAGTAACCAGGTACTTTCGTTCTTTTGGATATATTATTTAACAAATAGAACTATGATATTACACTCATGTTGTGATTTATTTGTACCCAGAAACGAATGGACCAGAGAGTCAACAAGAGATGCTCACTAGAGATGAAAGATGGAGATGCATGTTCGTTCACAAGAAGAAAAAGTAATTGCATGAACGTGTTTCCCACCAATTCATCCAACATGCATGCAACGTGGTCCATAACGTCCAAGTGCGCAAGACCACACAAGTTTTGGACTTTGCTCCTAGGATCCAAACCAGCCACGCACGTGGGTCTCATCGTTTGGACGTATTCACCAAGACCTATCGCATCAACATCTGAAGGCGGTGGACGGCTTTAATAAATAGCTAGCTACTGTTAGGGTTTAGATTCGGGTTTTGTTTAGAGAAGTTTAGCTATTGCTACTTTTATTTGTCTTCGCTCGTAGCGGCTAGTGCGACCGTTAAGACATCCTATCGGAATCCCATCTTGTGAGATTAACCTCATCTAGCATATTCGCAATTTTAAGATTGCTTGGCTATTATTTTCTTGCATGTTCTTCGATTTGCTTGCAGGAAAAATCCTTCGTGGATAGGTCGATCGCGCCGTTGGCTCGGTCGATAACGCCGTGGAGTTGGTTCAGCGATTGCCGTGGATATCAGTCGTGTACGGTTCTTTCTGTACAGTTGGTAGCCGGATCGTGAGGGTCAAGTCCCACCCAAAATCGTAGTTATCCTCTCTCATCAGAAGATCGGGTCCCCAGTGCACATCACAAGGAGACAACAGGTGTAGCAAGGTAGGAGAAGAAGATGAGGAGGAGGAGAGCACCAGTGGTGGCTGCCGAAAAGCCAACCACCCCGGGCGCTGGCTCAATCTCTTTGTGTGTGTGTGTGTGGTGTCCGTGCACGTTTGGTGGTGTGTAAACTATATATACATATATAATGTTGTGTAGAGTACAAGGAAACAGCAGGAACAAGCGACATAGTACCTATCAGCCCGGCTGGCCTTTCTTTGATTATTCTTTGTTGGGTCTTCTAGCTAGTCTTTCTCTTTTGGCAAAGCTCTAGCCCAGTCTACCTTACAAAGCTGAAACCTTCCAAGTCACCAAGTCAGCTGTGACTCCGTGTCGGCCGAACCGACAAATCTAACTCTCGTGCAAGTTCGGCCAAAGATATATGGCCCGTCTCCAAAACTCTTAACTAAATCTAACCCTTTTGCTCAATGCCACAATCTTCGGCATAGAGCTTGGTCATGTCAACACAACACACATGGATGTTGAAAAAGATTTAGCGATTTATGAGGTGTGGCTAGATCTCAATCGATTCAGATTTAACCAAGTCTCAATCAAATGACAATGACATATAAAAGAGAAAAAGAAAAAGGTGATTTTTTTACATGGATTCTAATGTAAGATCGCACAAATATAACATCGATTGTAACTTAACAAAGTCTGTTCACGAATAAAATGCAGTTTACGGGGTTAAATACCAGAGGGTATGACGTTGAATAGCTCAACACCGAAGGGTGTGACGTTTACACCTTGAGCTCCGCGCCATAGGGCCGGCGTGTGCGCCGACGAGGGGTCAACTAGTCAACCACAACTCCTTGTCATACTTAGTTGAATCCAGTCCATCAACAACCCGTTGGGGTCTCCGGAAAGACGACCACCATTCGTTAGGATGTGCGCCTGCACGCCGGACAGAAGCCGTTGTAATGTACTTGTAACTCCTAGAAATAACAGGTCCAGAAATTCGCTTTGGCACATGGGAGCGTGCGCTCCTGCCATCAGAAAAAATATTTTGAAGTATGAAAAAATTCCAAATAGAAATTTGGCATACATCTTGATATTATGTGTGTGCACGTCAACTTCAAAGGAAATCGACATTTTATGGCTTGTGTAAAAAGATAAAAAATTGGCCCTCATGTGCCAAAACGCCGCTCTCGTTCTCTTCATGGCGAGGACGGGGCGTCGACCCGTTGGCTGGGCAGTTGAGGTTGCTGCCAGCCCACCCGAGTTCAAGTCCCGGCTTGGACGCGTGGTGCTCGCGGAGTTTCTCCTATAAATAAATGCCAACGAGGGTTAGCCCTTGGGTTGGTCTCATTTTTTTGTTCTCTTCATGGCAATCTCGTCCCCCGGCATTGCAGCTGATGTGACTAACGGCTGGTACAACCCGTGGGCCAAGATTCTCTCCACACACAGACAAACACAGGTATTTAATGAATGAATGAATGATAGTAATATGAAAAACCCTCCATTTTAGAGTAGACTGATTTTCATTTTCATACAATTTTTTTGCATCTTCACGCATAGAAAGAGCGACACATGCATGTCACTATATCAAAGCTGTGATTTCTTATATTTTTAATAATTCAATGTCAATCTTTTTTTTTTGCACTGCGCAAACAATAGCATATGGCACTATCGAATAAAAACTCATTTTCCATGATTACAAAACCTCAATTAAAGCCTTGCTTGCTATGGTTTACATGTTTCAAAGCTTGTAAAAACAAGTGTAATGGACTGTGTTCTGGATAAAGATTTCGCACAAAAAAGAAACACAACAAAAACTCAATCTACCTTATTATTATCACCTACCACCATAAACTATTCAGAGAACAAGTGATTTTATGTTTATCATGGTCATCTGCCATGAAGATCAGTAATCAGATCAACTCCAATGTGAAATTTGTACATATCAAGGTCATCTAGTATGTATGTACAAAGTTATCGAAGATCTTGATATTGCAGTGATGCCTCTAACTTGAGCTTCATCTCCAGCCTTTTGAAGTGCAAAGTTGAGGCTCAGTTTATGTGCAAAAAAGACATCAAGGCAGGAGTTGAGATCTTCAGAAGGGGGGCAGTGTTGGGAATGCTGGTATGACCTTCTTTCTTGGCTACATCTTTGTTCCCATTGTTTTCACTTTAGCAAGCCAGTAAATTAAACCACCATGGAGAGAACTGGGTTTAGGTAATGTTGGTCTGTGCCACTAGAATTTTATATCTACTAAATGGCTCTTGATTGTAGTATGTTGCTTCGATTTCGTGATCATAACACATGAACTCTGCCTCTGTTTTCACAAACACAGCCAGTCCTAAATCTAGGAAAAGGAGGAGGGTTGTGATCATAGTTTTAAATAGCCAGCTATAGTCCCGCTATAGCTGTTTGAGCATGTTGCCGCTAAATGATTTCATGTACAATTTGCCGCTATAGCCCAGCTATAGCTGTTTTTAAAGATCGCCGCTATATGTCATAGCCCGCTATTTAAAACATTGGTTGTGATAGGCTTTGTGAGCCAACATAAAAACCAACCATTCTTATGAATATGAAACACTCGAACATACTGATAACCATTCCAGCTGCCAGTCCCATCCTGGCATCATTAGTCATTAACATCAACACTCCGCGAACATATCAAACGCACGCCATAAATTACTACTGCTACTGATGTTTGAGTAGTGAAGAAGAGGTCTTCGAACTGTTCGTCTCAGTGCTAGCGTCGGAGGTTGTGGTACAAGAAGTGTGCAGCGGCATGCTGGACGACGTCGACGACGACATCCCAATGGTGTGGGAGGATGATGATGACATCCCAACGACATTGGCCCAGGAGAGCGGCGGCGCCGGCTCATACATGGGCACTGGCATCTTGGAAGGAAGCACGGGCAGCTGGTAGGCTTGGTCGACCTTGGGCTGGAGCGTGGCCATGGCTGTCCGGATGGACGGCCGCACGCTTGGGTTTGGGTGCGCGCACCACAACCCGACGACCATCACCGTCTCCACCTCTGCCGCGTCGTAGTCACCATTCAGCCGCTCGTCGGCGGCCTCAAGGATGGATCCCCGGCCATATAGTCCCCAGACCCACTCGACCAGCCGGAAGACGCCGCCATTCTTCTGCTTGTCCTGGTCGGCCGGGGTTATGCTCATTGGCCTCCTGCCGCATGCCACCTCCAGTAGAACCACACCGAAGCTGTACACGTCGGACTCGGCGCTGGCCTTGCCGGTGTTCACGCAATCGGGGTCCAAGTAGCCTGGAGTTCCCGAGATTGCGGTCATGGTCTGCATCCCAGCGGCGTGGTCAACAAGCCTGGCTAGCCCGAAGTCGCCTAGCTTGGCGCCAAAGGACTCGTCAAGCATGACGTTGCTGGGCTTGATGTCCCGGTGAAGCACGCATTGCTCCCACTCCTCGTGAAGGTAGAGCAGGGCAGACCCAAGCTCCAGCAATATCTTCATCCTGCGGTTGTACTTGCAACCATCAACATACATACAATACATATGTGTAGTTATATGATTGCACCGCGGCAGTGCATACAACTTATAATGAAGACGTACCTCATTTCCCATGTGAGGAAGGTGCCCTGCTTGCCATGGAGATGGATGTCGAGGCTACGGTTGGGCATGAGCTCGTAGACCAGCAGGAGCTCCTGATCATGGCCATGACACCAGCCGATGAGCTGCACGAGGTTCCGGTGACGCAGCCTGCTTATCACCTTGACCTCGGATTTGTACTCCTTCTTTCCTTGTATGGAAGACTGCAACCTTTTTATGGCCACGGCAAGCCCAGCTGGCTCTCTCAAATAGCCTTGGTATACGGCGCCAAAGCCGCCTTGCCCAAGCTTCTCCTCCGCGGCGAAGTTCCTGGTCGGTTCCACGAGCTCGTGGTATGGGAACCGCCTTGGCCCCGTCCCCGGACATCGGCTCGCCTTCGTCTTCTTCTGAGTCTGTGTAGTACTCTTCCGTCTCCATGATTTTCCGACGACGGCGGCGGCGGCGCACTACGAGTGCGGCTACAGCGGCGAAGATCAACACGAGGGACACCGTTGCACCGACAGCTGCTCCGGCTATAACTCCCCCTGCCGGGGAGTGTGGTGGTGGCCGTAGTTCCAAGGAAGAGTTGAAGGACCAAGAGTTTAGATATACCTCGCCGCTGGACGTGGAGGCGGAGAAGCCAATGGAGACCTGCTCCGGCAGTGCGCTCTTCAGGTCAACCTTGGAGTTAAGGTAGTAACTCTGTTGGTCTTGATCCCATAACGTGACCGCTAAGACGTTGGAGACATTGTCGTACTCGATCACGGACAAAATCAGGGTGCCGCTCGTGAGAGTGGAGCCCTGCAACTTCAGTGTGCTCACCGATCTGAGGGAGTTGACGTAGATGCCGATGTGGTCATAATCGTAGCTGGCGGTGGGGTCAGACGCCATTGGATTGTTGAAGGTGTCGAACGCCACCGCTACAAACCGGCTGTCGCCGGACGCCACGGAGTCTGCGTTTTGGTCGGTGAGGCCGAGGCTGTGGACAGTGCCGCCGGCAGGGAGGCTAGACGGATAGCCGGCGAGGAAAAAGGCCATGCCCACCTCGTCGTTACTGCCGCTGGACATGAGGAACTCGAACCGCGTGGTGAAGCTGGCCACCTTGCCGGCCGCCTTGTCCCAGAGTTGCACCGGCTGGGTGTTGTAGGACGCCCGGCTGACGCTACCGTACAAGTTTGCGCTCATGTCGATCGATCCCATGGATGCGTTGCCGATGAAGGACGCGTCGCCTTCGATCTTGATGTCTTTCCGCTCTGCTGTGGTGAACTCGGGGAAGTTGAGGGAGAAGGAGACGGCAGGAGTAGGATGGTAGGAGAAGATGAGGAGGGGGAGGAGGAGAGCACAGGTGGCGGCGTTCGAAAAGCCGGCCATCCCGGGCGCTCGCCAAGCTAGGTGCTCAATGCTCTTGCTCGGTGGTGTGCCTCCGTGTGTTGTTGCCGTGCAAACTTTATACACACAGTACTCCTAGTCAGTCTAGCTGGCATTTCTTTGATTATTCTTTCTTGGGTCTTCTAGCTAGTCTTTCTTTTTTGGCAAAGCTCTAAGCTAGTCTAGAATGTTGAAGCCTTCCAAGTCAACTAGTCAACTGCAGTTCACTGTCGGCCGAACCGACAACAAGCTAACTCTACTCTCGTGTGAAAGTTCGGCCAAAAATGACCAGTCTCCAAAACTTTAGGACCCCCCAATGTTCGCCCCACAGCGCGAACGGCCCTCCCCATCGGCCCTACAGCCCGGTAGCGAAAAAAAGCCCACCTATTTTTTTTTTGCTATGCCAGATTAAAGTCCATATTTTGCTGAGCTAGCGAAGAGAAAAGTCATCAACTTTAAAAGCACAAGAATGCCATGGGTAACAAGTTTTTTTCTTTTTGCAATGACACGAAGAAAAAATAATCATGGCAATTTCCATCATAAAAACAAAAAAAATAGTCTTTCTTTTTTGGCAAACCTCTAGGCTAGTCTAGAATATTGAAACCTTCCAACTCAATTAGTCAACCACAATTCACTATCGGCCGAACCGACAGTGAAGCTAACTCTTCCATGGCACTAAATAATTAAATTTGCATCATGAAAATTCAAGAAAAGAAGGGAATTTGCTATGGTCCATGATCTTGGACATAAATTTCCATGATCTCAAAACATAAATAAAGCCATCACACTATCTATAATGAAATGTTTACATATGGCAAATTTAGTAAGTTTTTCTTCAAAACAAGATGGAAAATTCATGAAAAATAATCTAGGAAATCCATACTACACGACAAAAAGTTGCCATGCTATATAGTGAATGAAATAAAAATTTGCCATGAAAAAATGCTAAATTTGCCATGGCAATAAAAGTTAAATATTTGCCATGGCGATTTAGGTAAATTTGCAATGTCAATTAAGGAAAATTTACCATGGCTTGGCAAAAATAAAAAGTAAAAATCACCATGGCAATAAAAGTTAAGAATTGCCATGGCGATTTAGGTAAATTTGACATGTTAATTAAGGTAATTTTGCCATGGCAAAAATAAAAGGTTAATTTCATTGCCATGATATCTTACTATATACATGAAGACACATAAAAATGTGGACTAAAAAATGCCATGGCAAATAAAAACAAAAATTCCCTGGCAATAAAAGTTAAGAATTGCCATGGCGATTTAGGATAATTTGACATGTTAATTAAGGTAATTTTGCCATGGCAAAAATAAAAGGTTAATTTTATTGCCATGATATTTTACTATATACATGAAGACACGTAAAAATGTGGACTGAAAAATGCCATGGAAGAAAATGTAAAATTTGCCATGGATGTAAAAGTTAATTTGCCATGGCAAGTAAAGAAGTAAAATTGCCACGATATGGCTCCTCTCGCGAGTGTGAATATATAACCTGACGTGGGTCTCTTACTATCCACACACCCAGCAAAATCAGAGTCTGAATAATCAATAATTTCTAGGTTATCAGTTCTTTTATATGTAACCATGAAATCCTTAGTTCCTTGCACATAACAAGACTTTCTTTGTGGCCTTCCAGCGGCCTGGTCATAGATTTGATTGGTATCTGCCAAGCATCCTCGTTAACAAACACAAATCTGGGCGTGTACAAACTTGAGCGTACACGATTCTTTCGACAGCTGAAGCATAAGGAACCTACTTCAGCTGATCACTTTCATACTGGTTCCTCGAACATTCTAAGGTGTGTTTGGTACAGGTCACCGAGTGGAATGGTGGGTCCAACCCATCCTTGGGCCTCATTCTTGTGTTCGGTACACAGGCAGAACGGAACCCACTCGTTCCCAGAAAAGGAATATTCGGCCCAGATCCGTAATCGAGTCGTTCCTCCAAATCGAGCGGACGACAGGGAACCGCTCGCTCTCGTGACTCTCAACGCCCGCTTATCTCCTTCCCTCGTCTCTCCCTTGCATCTGGCAGGCACCGGGAGGCGGCGCCCGAGGCGAGCGGCGGCGGGTTGCAACAGGCGGTGGCGGCGGGTTGCAACAGGCGGCGGCGGATCGATTCCAAGCGTGTTCCTAGCCTCACCGCCCGCACACTCGCAGCTGACGCTGGCGGCGACGACCCGGTCGTGACCGCCCCATCCCCTTCTCGACGAATCCGACAAGGTCCAGCGACGGCGGCGGCCATCTCTGGTAGCCGCGTTGGTTGCCTTTCCTTTCAACTTGCCTCCAGTCGTCCTCCTCGTAGCCGGGCTGCTCTCCTCGCCTTTATCTTTGCTTTGGACGCTCTTGTTTGCAGAGTTGGAAGACTGAACATCGTCAACACCCATACCTGAATGTAGCAAAAGCTCGTTCTTGAACACCTGAAGCAAGTAATGCACTTGCTGCTATTGTTGTTGTGTGTCGTGCTGCTATTGCTACTACTCGCGGCCTGCACTTTCTCCGCTGAATTTGATGTTACGTGTCTTGTTTTTGTTTGATGCTGAAGTTCAATCACAAGAAAACAAGTGGAAAGATGAACAAATTCCATTCCTTCGAATTACCCCTACCAAACATCAAGATGGAACCGTTCCATTCCTTTGAATTACCTCTACCAAACACAAAGACGGAACCAACCCATTCTAATGGAATGGAACCATTACATTCCATTCCACTTCGTTCCCAAACCAAACACACCTAATGTCCCAAACTTATCGCCCTTGACTATAGGAGCAGGTGAGGGTGAGCACTTATGCATATTGAATTTCTTCAACACTCTCTCAAAGTATGCCGTTTGAGATAGTCCTAATGTTCCTCTGGACCTATCTCGATGAATCTCGATGATGAGGAGACACGAGGCTTCACCAAGATATTTCATATCAAAACTGGATGACAGAAAATTCTTGGTCTCATGCAGCATATCGTTATCGCTACATGCCAACAATATGTCATCAACATATAGGACTAAAATTGTGAACCTACTGCCTTTAAATTTAACATGGATGCAGTTGTCGACAACATTTTCTGGTGAAACCAAAAGTTTTGATAATTTTATCAAACTTGAGGTACCACTCTCTTGAAGCTTGCTTCAAGCCATAAATTGATTTCTTTAGATGACATGCTAAATGTTCCTTCCTTTTCACAACAAAGCCTTCCGGCTGAACCATGTAAATCTTTTAGAAATGCCATTTTAACACCCATTTGATGTAGTCCTAGGTCGTAATGAGCTACTAATTCCATGATAATTCTAGAAGAATCTTTGGTTGACACAGGGGAGAAGGTTTGTTTATAGTCAATTCCTTCTTTTTGTGTGAACCCTTTTGCCACAAGCCTTGCCTTGAACCATTCAACATTCCCTTTGGAATCATACTTGGTTTTGTAGACCCACTTGCATCCTACTTTCTTAGCTCCATCGGGAACTTCTACTAAGTCCCAAACATCGTTTGAGCCCATAGATTTCAACTCGTCTTCCATGGCAACCAACCACTTGGACGAAATTTCGCATTTAATGGCTTCCTTATAAGAGGTTGGCCCCCCCACCTTTCCTATATCATTTATATCCTCAATCATGAAAGTGACATAATCATCTGATATGGCTTTCTTCCTCTCATGCCGTGGTCTACCCACAGGAGGAGGTGGTGGTGGTACATCATCATTTTGAGGATCACTATTTTCCTGGGGATCCTCATTTGTGTCTGGATTTTCATTATTATTAGTTTCCGGATCACCATTTGGTTGAGGGATTGAACTGTTAGATTCAAGATCATCAGATGGCACATTTCTTTGTATTGGAAAAACAATATCTTGGATAATTGGGGATGGTGCACAAACCCGCTTCTCCTCAAGATCGATCTCCCTTATTTTTGTGACCTTATTATCCTAAAAAAATACCGCTTGTCTAGTTTCCACAAACTTGGTGGTGTGACTTGGACAACAAAAATGACATCCCTTTTCCCTATGAGGGTATCCAACAAAGAAACATCTAACTGTTTTTGGATCCAACTTCTTAAGTTGTGGATTGAAAACCTTAGCTTCAACAGGACAACTCCACAACCGTAAGTAATTCAATCTCTGTTTATTTCCCGCCCACGTCTCGTAAGGTGTGTTTGGTGCGGCCTTAGTTGGAGCAAGATTTAGTATATGTGCGGTTGTATTTAATGCCTCCATCCAAAGGTCTATTTCTAAACTCGAGTGACTAAGCATGCTTCGCACCATATCCATAAGAGTGCGATTGTGACGCTTAGCCACACCATTTTGTTGTGGTTCACCAGGCATTGAGTATTGAGCAATGATTCCATTTTCGGATATGAACTTGGCAAAAGGTCCAGGAATTTGCCCATAAGGAGCATGCCTACCATAATACTCTCCCCTGCGATGAGACCGTACAACTTTGATTTTTGTGTTCAGTTGATTTTCAACTCAGCTTTATAGACTTTGAATTTTTCCAAAGCTTGCGATCGGCCACGTATTGGATAAATATACCATAGCGGGAGAAGTCGTATGTCAATGTAATGAATGAATCAAAACTGTCCACAGACTTAACGTTAAGGTGTCCACACATGTCAATGTGAATTAATTTTAAAACCCCTATGGCTCTTATTGCTCCCTTCTTAATTGTTTTTGTGTATCTTCCTTTAGTGCAATCGACACATTTGTCCGCATCTGAGAAGTCTAATGGGAGGAGTATTTCATTTTTAACTAAGTGTTCCATTCTAATGGGAGGAGTATTTCATTTTTAACTAAGCGTTCCATTCTCCTCCTCGAAATGTGGCCCAAACAACAATGCCACAATTTTGAAGAATTACTGACTCCTTTCCATTTCTTCTCAACATTAATTTCATCACTCACATGCATAACTAAATCATTATTAAGAGATAACATGTATAACTTGCCTTGTCTAACATCGAGGCCGACATTCTTATTACATTTGTTCAAAACAAACTATTTGTTGCTA